AATATCTTGAAATTTCGATCAGAGGTTATGAATGTATTGATTATCCCTTACAAAATGCATTTTTAAAAAATTTCAATATCTTTCAGTCATGTTATAAAAGATATAAACTGGGAGCTGTTTCTAATATGGGAATGTGTGAGGCAGCGTCATATGTGCATGCGCGATTGGCGTGCAGCTACTTTGCCATTATTTGTTTCTTTTTAGACCATTTCTTTTTTAGACAATTTTTGTCTGAAACATAAAAAAAATTCTTCAAGACATTCAAAATGGGTTAAAAATAAGACACTCTTTATGTGTATGTGTAATAAATAGCGGGTGTTATAATGGCTAGATTGTTACAAAAAAAAAATAATAGTCTAAAACAAAGAGTATGAAATACGGGCGGAGTAAAATATAAATTCGATTCTATCGCTAGGTTTCTTTAGTGACCTTCTCCAGTGGCGGTTGAGGAAGGGAAAAAGTTGAGGAAGAAGAATTTTGGTTGATGTATTGGAAAGGAGAGGAGTGGAAGTAAATGGGTGTGGAATCATTGGGAGCGAGTCTAGCGACTACCGATCGGATCTCATCGATGTCGAATCTATCGTGTATATACCGGGCTCGAGAAGGGAGAGTTGTTAGGGGAACTGAGATAATAACTCAAGCGAGTTGTGTTCCTCGTAAATCCATAATAATAGTAGTATTGGGGACAAGAGGAGGGATTTCCGCGAAGAATTCCACGCTTGCTCTTGAGGAGTTCGTATTTCAGGGTCCTCGGTACCTATAATAGTTCCACAGTTGAAGTGGAACTTATAAGGTTACCAATCATACTCTTTTAAGAGTACATGTACTCTTTTGGCGATCGTGGCGCGAGGAGCAGCGCGGCAGCTTTATAAGATCCGGGTTCAAATTCACCCAGAATAATATAACTCTGAAATTGATTTTAATCAATTCGGAAGCGATCGCCGCCTCTCGAAAGGCAATGGCAAACCACTGAGAGTATCTTTGCCAAGAGAACCTCTTCTTAAAAAAAAAATGGCCGTTCGGAACCGGCATTTTAAGGCGTATGTAGGTCCCGTATATCTGCGTAAAAGTGTAAATAGCGCACATCGCAGAAATACGAGAAGAGGTCACTACGCTCTGTCAAGAGTAGTAGGACTATTGATTGATTGTACTCTTTTTAAGGTCCTAAAACAGTGTACTCGTACTTTTTACTTATTGTAGCCAAATGTACTCTTTTTGACTTTTTTGGGGAATGACAAAATAAAAAAATTAAATTATTAATGCTAATGTTAAAAAAATCTTTAGCATGATAAACGCTCAATGGAATGATGAAAGAAATAGGCTGTCTGTCGACTCCGTGAAAAATTTGTTAATGGTTCAATATAATTCCAAGCAATTTGATTGCTTACAATTATTGTAAACGGGGAACAAAAAATTATTAGTTGAAGTTCGAAGCAAGTCTATAGGCCAAATATTCTTTTAGTTAAAATTTTTTAATTTATATCATAAGCTTTGTTAGAGCTTTACTAAACTATTGATATTTTTCAGATATATTTAGATATATTTAAATTTATTTAGCAAAAAAAAGTGCAATGTAAATGGTAAAGTTAATTTATTTACACTTACACAAATATGTGATATTTTATTTTTGTGATAACATAAGATTCTGGTTTATTTAATTAAAATTTAATATTTACATTATATTAATAAAAATTACGTTCTACAAATTTATTTTATTTAATTGAATACCTACACTTTGCGTATATTAAATTATACGCCCTTCCTCCGATCCCCGGATAATCTTTTCTTTTTTTACTTATTTCTTCTGACCCAGGGTTCGTAACCCTAAGTAGAACAGGCGGGAGAAGAGGCATGAGGTTCTTCTGGAAGAGTTATGGGAAGGAAATGAGAGTGCTGGTGACGATGTAGACGAAGAGATATTCAGAAATATTCGATACATTAAGATAAAAGAAACAGAGGAAGAACGAGAGAGAGACTTATTCGAGTTCCAGGGAAGGGGAGGAGAGTTAGCTGGCGGAGGCTAATCTGGTGAGGCTAAATTCGAAGGCTCTGCGATTTTCAGACCGTCCGCTGGACGCTTCAAACTAGCTTGCTAGTTCCAAAAAGTGCTAGTCCCTTATCCAGAGGCCTCAATATGTATACATGCGAACCTCTCTGTTTCGACGATGCCGGAGTCTTTTGGCAGCGCGTCAGAATCGAGGGACCGTTGGAATTGATCTGTCATTCACTGAGGAAGAGACCAATTAATTATAGAATTAAGAAACACCGAATCCATTCTTGAGTGGAGGTTTGAATGAATTCATGAGTGAGAGGAAAAGTAAAATAATAAAAAAAAGGAAAGAGACTTACTATATATTGTCACGCTTTTTGTGAGCCCGCACTCACAAGACGTGGATTAAAAACCTGAACAGGGATGAGGAAAGATGTCGGCCCTCGTTATGTCCCTTGCGTACGATCCTCCGGTCGTGAGTCACACAATCCCGCGAACTCTTGGGCGCCAGACGTGCTCGGAGGCAACGTCAATCACAACCACACGCGCAATTACTTTTCCGAAACGCTAATGAGCGACCACGAATTACAATGATAGATCGCGCGAGGGCCGGCTAGTTCTATCTAACGGTAGAGGGGCAGGGCGGATGGCCTGGGCTCCCTATGCGACAAAGACGGCGGCGAGAAGGCGAGAATTATCACACGCTAATTTCAGTAACAGATAATAATCGAATATATTTGATAAAAGAAATAAGGTAGAAAAACATAAAAAGCACTTCACTAGTCATTCGGAATAACAGAAATAGGCACGGGGCTTTAACTTACAATAGCTGTACGGATACGCGTCCGCGATTCGCAATCTCACTCCTCTCTCGGGGAAGCTGGGCCGCTTTCTCGAGCGCACGCTATCGGGGTGCGCGAAATACGCCGTTTGGAACACGCCCGAGTTTGTTCGTTAGGCGGGTGTTATTGCGCGGGCGAATCGTCGCCTAAAAGCTACACTCCGCGAACACCCTTTTCGGGAATACGCTATCGTCTGGTAGTATGGCGGGCGTGCTACCCCGTGGTCGAAATTCGCTACGCGCACGAACATGTTCAGCGCAAATTCTTCCGGGAAGTATGATGTGCTGGACGCCGACGCTCTCCCGACAGCCTACGACATGCGGGGAGAAGGCCCCTTGTACTTGGTGTCGCCTGCACGCCTTTCACGAAATTGATCGTGGTGCGCTCTGCGCAACAAACGAAAGTTAGCGCAAACATCATTGCGTGCCGATAGCGACTCCAGAGTACAAGCACAGCCCCCTCAGCGTACTCATGATCTCACAAAATAACACGCACGGACAACCTAGCCGACTTCGTCGGCTTCCTGGATCCTCGCTCGGTAGGCCTTGATCTTGTCCCTTGCTCTGGGCCGGGAAGGAAGTCGCGGTGCTCGTAAGTCTAGTGGACATCCATCTCAGCTCAAAGACGACAACGGAATCTCCCGGGATTACGATCGACAGCGCGATCGATGGGATGTCCCCCCCCTAGGAGGGTGCGCGCAAGGACGATGCGCAGTGTCGCGGCCAATTATCGTCGGCCGCGTGGCTTAGCTCGGGCAACGCCGTGCGTAGCCGAATCCTGCGGGAGGCTCTTTGGCTCCCGATTTTGCGCTGATATTGCTTGCTTTCGGCTCGTGGTGTCCCCTGCGATGCCCGCGGCACCGGAGTGTGCGGAGACCATCTCGGGTAGCTCCTCCGCGATTGTCGATAATGTGTGGGCCCAATCGCCGCTGATCGAGTCAACTCGATTCCACACCTCTATGTCGCTCGGCGTAACTACGGCGGCCTTCCATGTCGCCTCGCCAAATTGCCAATTTGCCTCTGTCGCACATCCTTCAAATCTCCCGGGCCCGTTGCTTTTTCCGGATGATTCTGCTATCCCCGCCAATGACTGCTCCTCCTTTCGTCCTCCGTAAATGTCCGGTGAGGCGCCGTATGACACATGGAAATAAGTTGGAAATAAATACGCTGTTTAACGCGACGCGGGACCCCTTGGAGGTTTCGGTTTCTTTTTTCCTTCCTGGCTTGGTCTTAAGCGCGCAAACGAGTTTTGTGACAAGGGAGCGACGTTGCTCCTCTGTAGCGGAGCGACACGTCACAATATGTATACATATTGAGTCTTCCATACGGTAGGTGCAGTGTAAGTAGTCGAGTGGTGGTCGACGATAGTTGAGTCTCTGGAGTTGGGTAGATTAGCTAAGAGATGTGACTTTGGAGCCGAAATGTTATTTTGGCACAACGGAAAAAGTCTGCATGGCTAACGATTAAGAGTTTCGCGACGCGCACTGACTCGAAGATATAAACGGTGTATAAGTTCGGTTTCATAATTCGCGGTTAACTCGATTTAACTAAAGTTCAACTCGCTTTATCTTTTTCAAATTTAAGAATTAGAAAGAGATAAACAGTAAGTTAAACCGAAATTAAAATTATAATTTTGTTAAATTACATTTGTGAGACCGGTCCTAAGAGAGCGATTGCGACAATGTCAATTGCGTGCAAGTCTCGCGGTATCGCGATTTATATAGAAGTTTTCCTAGGATGTGAGATATGTTAGGATGAGGGAGGTTTTGGTTGGTAGATCCCTTTGACTAAGATGCAGCTCTATGTTTCTTAGCTGCTTGAATAATACTATTAATTTAGAATAATAATGGGTGACAAAAAGGCACTAAGAATCAATACGCAGAAATCGTTGCGTTAAAGATTCAAGTAGAGATGTATTCTATAACTTAAATTACATCTTCTTACATAAGTCGTACGTTTCGGTCCACTTCAGACCT